TGAAGATTAGGTGAGCCGCTAATATTAAGTGCTTCTGGTCTTCGTGTGGCTTTGTTGAGGCGTCGGTCCACCCCCAGTTAGGTTATGGCTTCGTCAAGGTTAAACCACTTACCATCCCCGTAGTCTCATGTTGGACCAGTATTAATATCGTTGTTTGGTACGCTTTCCGTTCACACCGTACTACAGATTGGGATGTCATGGTCCTCCAATGACCCGGCGCTTCTTCCGTGAATCGTCCCTGGCTTCGAGGTTCCCTGCTCACCCGTGACACACGCTGCTTAGTGGCTACGCGCTCTCTCTTTTGGGACCATGCTCTTTAGTACGGCCTCATTTGTGGCTGCTAACTATTTCCTGTTCTCAAATGTTTTCGTGGGTTGCACCGGCTTCGTGGTACGTCGTATTTCGTGGCCGTTGGCCTCCCATCGCCGGTAAGCTAGCCGAGGGGTGCTATTCCGTGGTTTGGTGCCTCCACGCAGTCGTGTTGTTCCGTCGCTCGTGTATCGTGCTCTCCTGGTGAGGTATAATCGATCGCGTTATCGCGCTATCATGCAATCGCGAACTGGTTCTGCTGTCCTATGATATTGTGCTCGCGTAGTGTATCTGCGCTGTCCGTTTTATCGTGTTCTACAATGGTATCGTGCTCCGCGCTGTGCAATCGTGGTATCTCGAATCGTTCCCCTGTGACTTCGTGGCTGGCCCGCCGTCCGTGCAATCCCGTTCTAATGAACGACTGTCCTCCGCGGCTCGGGTTAATCAGGATCTACACTCGTATCGCTCTCCGCGGCTCGGTGATTTCCGTCTATAGCTCCGCGGCTGCGTTCTCATATGGCTAAGTGACGCCTTCCATGTTATCTTGCTAGCTTAAGGTGTCGCGGCTGGTCTGTCGTCCGTGTGATTGTAAGCTACCGTAGTATCGTGCTCTAAAGCTCGATGATTTCCCGTTTTTGGTCTCCCGCGGCTTCATGCCTGGTCCGTCGACCGTGCTCCGTGCTTTTCTGCGGTGCTAAGGATGTGTTTCTGTCATACACTCTTACCGCTACGTGCTTCGAACGTGCGTACTCTTCGTAGCACCGTTTTAGCATGCTGGGTGTCTGTATATTTAGTTCCCTTATGTGGTCCGTACGCTCCCGTCGTATTCTTGTCCCTCTGTCCTTTCATAGCTGTGTGCTCTTCCGGATTTAACGCTACGCATAAAACTTCGTAGTTTGCATCGGCTAAGACTTCTATCGTCGTCCGTGGCCTTCCGTGCTTTGTGTTGCTCTTCTATCCCATCGTCTATATAGTGTGGGTCGGTGTTCCTTCGTGTTTCGTGTTCTTGCTGAGTAACGTGCCTCCACGCTAAATTAATCACAAACGCTGTTCCGATTTTGTTTGATTTACGCAGCATATATTGTTGAAAAGCTC